TTCTGCAGACTAAAGAAACCCAAATCCCTCAGTCTCTCCTCATAGATCATGTGCTCCAGCCCCCTAATCATTTGGTTGCCCTCTGCTGGACCCTGTCCAACGCATCCACATCCTTTCTATAGTGGAGGGCCCACAAATGGACACAATACTCCAGGTGTGGCCTCACCAGAGCCGAATAAAGGGGAATAGTCACTTCTCTGGAACTGCAGGCAATGCTCCTCCTAATGCAACCTAATATGCCATTAGTCTTCTTGGCTACAAGGGCACACAGTTGACTCATATCCAGCTTCTCATCCACTGTTACCCCCAGGTCCTTTTCTGCCGAACTGCTACTCAGCCATTCGGTCCCCAGCCTGTAACAATGCTTGGGATTCTTCCTTTCCAAGTGCAGGACTCTACGTTTCTCCTTGTTGAACCTCATCAGATTTCTTGTGGCCCAATCCTCTAATTTGTTTAGGTCACCCTGGACCCCATCCCTACCCTTCAGCATACCTCTCTCTCCCCATAGCTTAGTGTCATCTGCAAACTTGCTGATGATGCATTCCATCTACCTCATCTGCGTCATTAATAAAAATGTTGAACAAAACCGGTCCTTGAACTCCGCTAGAAACCAACCGCCATCCTGACATCGAGCTGCTGATCACTACTCATTGGGCCTGACAATATAGCCAGCTTTCTATCCATCTTACAGTCCATTTATCCAATCCATACTCCCTTAACTTGCTGGCAAGACTATTGTGGGAGACCATAGCAAAAGCTTTGCTAAAGTCAAAGTATATCACATGCATTGACTTTCCCATGTCCATAGGGCCAGTTATCTCATCATAGTAGCTGACCAGGTTAGTTAGGCATGACTTGCTCTTGGGAATCCATGTTGACTATTCCTGATCACTTTCCCCTCTTCCAAGTGCCTCAACATGGATTCCTTGAGGATCCCCTCCATACTTTTTCCGGGGACTGAGGTAAGATGGACTGGTCTGTAGTTCCCTGGATCATCCTTCTTCCCTTTTTTAAAGATGGGCACTGCCTTTGCCTTTTTCCATTCACTGAAGCTACTTATAAACACATTTCTTTACCACATGATATGTATTTATTTTCTATTTTCCCATACCTGAGAATACAACTTCCCTTGAACCAATGGTCTGAGTGAAACACTTAGACCCCCGAGAACCACTGTAAGAGAAGTTGAAGAGCTTTTCATGGCCAGTGTTGACTGAAGCCTGAGAGTTTGGTTCTGCTACGGTTTTCTCTTCATCCTCCTAGGATCTGACTCCTCTCCCCATGCATGGGTCAGTAGATGTCTGCAACGTTTCTGATTGACACAGACAGTTACCTCAGCTTTGCAGTGGAGAGCTCACAAACTAATAGTGGCAGACACTGGATTTGCACTAAAATCCACTTGAACATGCAAGTTATTTCAGCTACGTGTGCGTAATAGATGATGGGAAAAATTACAGACAACCACTATTACGCCCCCTTGTCCTGCCCCTTAGCTCTACTCTTTGCTACAACAGACCAGCAGTTCTGTTCTCTCAGGATGTTTTGGAAAATCTTGCCCAGGTATTGCATAGGGTTAATGTTCATGCCCCAGAATGTAAGTGTTAGAAACAGCTTCTGGTCAGTAACCAGGAGACAGTATCATGCAACTGTGCAGTGAACAGAGTGAATAGCTCCCTAGCACTCCCTGCCCTCCAGCCCTGCCATTGAGTCATCCCGACAGCCCAACCAAGACCTTTGCCACAGAAAAGAACATCAGCAATTGCAAACGGCTCACGGCTTTATTCTGTCAGGGCTCCTGTCACAGACACTGAAACCTGCCCACGTACCCAGTTCCTGCGAGAAGGGAGCCGCTGGCACCAGAGGTCTTCACCCTGAAGCACAAGGAGTCACCAGAGAGGTTGCAGGGGCAGCAGGCAGTGTGTGTTCAGATAGGGAGGCAGCTGCCTTTATGCAGCATGTTTGTACCTTCCCTTGGGGCCACTTGGCCATCAGGGAGCCTCAGCTGCTTGGCTTCATGTGCACCAGCTTTAACCCCATTACAGCCGGTGGCCACCGGCAGGAGGCCAAATCCCAGGGGACGAGGGATGATGCTAAACAAGAGGTCTGCAGCACCAGCCCTGCTGCAAACTCTGTTCCTGGAATCTGCGCATGTCGGCACTTTTTGTGTGGTCCTTATAAATCACTTGGCTCCTTCGAAGACAGCCGAGTGGCAACCTTGATGCCGTCACAGTTAGGATCTTGCTGATGTAAAATAAAATAACAAAGCTGACACAGGAGCACGTGCCTCCTCAGCTGCCCCCTTCCCTGCCTTAAAAGCCCAGGGCACTGCCAGAAAAGGGATTCCACAAGGCTCCATTCATGAGAATTTCCATTGGTCCATCCCTTTCTCCAAGAGCAATGAAAAAAGGGACCCAGGGATCTCCAAGTTAGGCAGAGATCTCAGTGATCCACTGGTAGCCAGGCCCAGCCACCCACAATCTCTGGGCTTCCACAGTTGTTCCAGAGCTCTCTCCCAGTCCCTCCTAGCACAGGCCCATCAGAGATGTGATACCGGGGCCTGTCACAAGAGCCTCTGTCCCCTTGATCTGCTAAAGGGGTTTTATGCAGCATCCCTCAAGACTTTTTCAGTGTCTGCTTCCCTGGAGTGAGTCCCCCATCTGGTCAGGATGGCCTGTGTCTGTTGTTTCTAGATCCACACCTTTACATTGAGCTGTATTAAAACAGATTAGTGGTGAGTCTCAGAGGGACTAAGTGAGTTGCCCAAGGTCACAGGGGAAGACTGTGGCAGAGCCTGGAACTGGCACCAGTTCTGCTGAGTCCCAGGCCAGCACGTTAACTTCTGAACCCTCCTTCCTCTCTGGGGCTAGTGGCTGGGAGAGGGCAGCTGGTAGCTCAGCAGGCTGAGACTGCCAGAAACTCTGGGAATCACACTCCTGTGACATCACCAGTCAGGGACCCAAGAACAATTCCTGTTCCAGATGATAACGCTGAGTCCTGCTTTCTCCTGGATCCCCTGAGGGACAGATCCATCAGCCAGGGCTCAGGGCAGAGGCAACGGTTTTGAAATAACCGGCGGCTGTCACACATCTATCTCCCGTCGCTTCAGGCTCAGTGAGACAGGGCTCCCTTCTGGCCGGTTCTCTCCCTCCCTCAGTGCAGTGCAGAGCAGGGGGCTGGGGTGAGCTATCCCTGGTGATAACGGCTGCCAAGAGCACGGCCCACTGGGGCCAAGTCCGGAGGATAGTGACCACCATGGAGCGCCCCCTTGTGGCCAGAGGTAGCCCTTCCGGCCCCCTGCCCTTCCCTCCTAGGTCCTTCTCATGCCTGACTTGCAGCCTGGGACTCTTAAAACCTCCTCCTTCACTCAGGAACATCCCACCTCCCTGCTGGCTGGGGACAGCCTTGCTTCGAGCTAGCTGCAGCTAGACTGGCTTTTCCACATACCTCGGTCCCTTGCCCCGGGCGGAGCATGGGCAGCTGTCTGCGCCCCGCTGGTGTTGCCCAGGTTAGGAGAGGGGACGCAGCCTGTGCTCCTTCCTAAAGCTCCTCCTCATGGCAGAGAGGGAAAGGAGCCGTGCCCGGCCCTAACAGCCTCCTGTCCCAGGCCCTTAGAAAAGCAGTGACCTGGGATTTCCCAGAGCTAGGCCTCTGTCAGCCGCAACACATGGACCCTTAGTCAAACCATGGCTCGGGGCTGACTGATTGATCGCCCCTCGCCCAATCCCTTCTATCCCTAACGGCCACTGGATGAGGGTGCACTTTGAGCAGGAGTGTCCCAAAAAGGCAGAGTTCAGGCCCAGGTGTGGGCTGAAAATCTCCACAGCGGTGCTGGTCCTGAATTCCCGGTGGTGCTACCCACAGTTAGCAGGCCACGCCATCCTGTCCATGCCTGGGGTGGGTCTGAGGAGGTCCTGCACCCCCTCGCTATGGGGCCTCACCCTGATCCTCTTTCCCTCCACTGACTGGTGATGGTGGAACATCCAGGGCTCCCCAGAACAGCACCTGCTCCCTGGGCTCTCCTTACTGGGGCTCTGACACCCAGCCCGGCCAGAGAGGAGGCAGGAGTTGACAGTTCTGGGGAATGAAGGGGGACATGGGTGAGACCATGAAGGAGGTGGGGCTTCCTGCATGGGTCCTGCTTTTGCCTTGTGAAAAGGGGGGGCACCCTACTCTGAATGGGGTGGGCTGGGACCGGAACTCGCTGGGCCTCTGTGAGGTGCCGAGGCCAATTTCTCTCCCTTTGCATCGCTGGGAAAATGTAAATGGAGGGGAAGGGAATTTGGGCCCAAGCCTCTTGCCAGGGCTCCTGTGTGGAAGACCTTCCCCCACCCCCACATCCCTGCTCCCCCTCAGGAGGGAGTGGGCTCGGCAGGCGTGTGACGTGCGGAGCTATCCCGGTGGTGGGGGAGGCTGCCGGCCCGGCTCCTACGTGAATCATGTCTCTGACACGACTCAGTCACAAGCCCTTGGCTGAGGGTGTGAGGGTCTGGGCCCCTTGAGCAGCCCCTGCCCACGGCTGGGGCAGCCCCGGGATCACACAGCACCCAGAGTGCTCAGGAAGGGCCAGGACTGAGACAACTCAACGCCTTGCTGGAGCCATTTCCAGGATCTTTAACCAGATGGGACGGGGACAGGCCAGGGGTCACAGGAAACACCAGCCACCTCCCTTCTCTTTATTCACAAAACCAACAGGAATTGGGAGGCTGAGCAGCCTGGAAATTGCAGTTTTGGGGCCAATGTCCCACCAATCCCTTGGCTCTCCAGGGGAACAGTCACTTTGCCAATACAACACCTGCCTTGGTCTCTTCCCCCAGTGGGCGGGGACAGCCCCTCTAACAGCTCTTCAGGCCTAAGAGTCCATCTGAACCTGTCTCTACACAGCAGGGATCAGTAGCTCAAGGCATTACAGGTGTAAGGGTCCGGGATGGGATCACTTGCCACGAACTGTGATTCTTGTCTCTCATCTCATCTGCGCTGCAGCGGGATGATAAACTGGCCCTTCACTTGATGAACACCCGGATGATCCTGGCGCGCAGGTGTTTGCTTTTCACACTGTACACGATGGGGTTCATCAGGGGCGGGACCAGCAGGTAGATGTAGCCCAGCACTACATGGGGCAAGGGAGAAGAGCTCTTGGCAAATCTGTGCATCAAAGTCAGGCTGAACTCAGGCGTGTAGAAGAGCAGGACGGCGCAGAGGTGGGAGACGCAGGTGTTCAGGGCCACGAGGAACTCCGTGCGGGACGCGATGCTCAGCACCGTTTTGAGGATCATCACGTAAGAGACGAAGATGAGCAGCGAGTCCAACCCCACTGTGAGAACTGTAATAACCAAGCCATAGATGTTGTTGACAGTGATGTCCGCACAGGCCATATTCATGACCTCCATGTGCAGGCAGTAGGAATGGGAGAGGACGTTGGCTCGACAGTAGCGGTACCGTTGCAGGAGAAGGGGGAGTGGGAGTATGACACCCACCCCTCTTAGTGCAAAGACCAGTCCCATCTTGACTATTCTTCTCAGGGTTAAGATGGAGGCGTATCTCAGTGGGTTACTGATCGCAACAAAGCGGTCAAAGGCCATTAACAAGAGCACACCGGATTCAATGTATTGAAGTGACTGGATGAAGAACATCTGGGCAAAACAGGCATTGTGGCTGATCTTTCTATGGTTAAATAGAAACACTCCCAGTATCGTTGGTACAGTGGCTATCAGTAAGCCAAGGTCAGTGACAGCCAAAATGGAAAGGAAAATGTACATGGGCTCATGGAGGCTTAAATCTGTTGTTATAATGACGAGAATGACAGCATTGCCAACTATCGAAATAATGTATGTGAAGCAGAAGGCGATAGAGAACCATAGATAGACGTCTTCCTGCCCAGGTATCCCGGTGAGAAGAAACACTGCAGGGTTGAATTTGCTGTCATTGACAGCTGACATAATGTGCAGGGGAAGTCTGAGGAGCTGTGAGCTTTTCTTCCTAAAATGAAAGAGAACAGATGAGATGATACTGAAGAAGACAAGATTCTACTCTAATGATCAGTCTTGGATTTACAACACCAACAGGAAGACAGGCAGTGCTAGATTGGATCAGACCTACAATTCAGCTAGCCCAGTGGTCAGGTCCAGATGCAACAGGCAGCAGTAAGGTCTCTTGGTCCCAGAGAAATTTTCCCACTGACAACTGCTACTTAGAAATCTTTCATAATGGAAATTAGGAAGGCGTTGAATCCTTTAGTGACATTTTTAAACAAATTCTCATTACTGTCATTGAATTCTCTTGTCACTCTGTCCAGTTATGGGTGCCACATTTCAGGGAAGATTTGGACAAATTGGAAAAGGTCCAGAGAAGAGCAACAAAAATGATTAAAGGTCTAGAAAGCATGAGCTATGAGGCAATGCTGAAGGAATGAGGCTTGTTTAGTTTAGAAAAGAGAAAACAGAGAAGGGACATGATAACTTTCAAGTCCCTGAAAGATTGCTACAAGTACGAGGGAGATAAATTATTTTCCTCAACTTTTGTAGACGTGGGCTGGGACCGGAACTCGCTGGGCCTCTGTGAGGTGCCGAGGCCAATTTCTCTCCCTTTGCATCGCTGGGAAAATGTAAATGGAGGGGAAGGGAATTTGGGCCCAAGCCTCTTGCCAGGGCTCCTGTGTGGAAGACCTTCCCCCACCCCCACATCCCTGCTCCCCCTCAGGAGGGAGTGGGCTCGGCAGGCGTGTGACGTGCGGAGCTATCCCGGTGGTGGGGGAGGCTGCCGGCCCGGCTCCTACGTGAATCATGTCTCTGACACGACTCAGTCACAAGCCCTTGGCTGAGGGTGTGAGGGTCTGGGCCCCTTGAGCAGCCCCTGCCCACGGCTGGGGCAGCCCCGGGATCACACAGCACCCAGAGTGCTCAGGAAGGGCCAGGACTGAGACAACTCAACGCCTTGCTGGAGCCATTTCCAGGATCTTTAACCAGATGGGACGGGGACAGGCCAGGGGTCACAGGAAACACCAGCCACCTCCCTTCTCTTTATTCACAAAACCAACAGGAATTGGGAGGCTGAGCAGCCTGGAAATTGCAGTTTTGGGGCCAATGTCCCACCAATCCCTTGGCTCTCCAGGGGAACAGTCACTTTGCCAATACAACACCTGCCTTGGTCTCTTCCCCCAGTGGGCGGGGACAGCCCCTCTAACAGCTCTTCAGGCCTAAGAGTCCATCTGAACCTGTCTCTACACAGCAGGGATCAGTAGCTCAAGGCATTACAGGTGTAAGGGTCCGGGATGGGATCACTTGCCACGAACTGTGATTCTTGTCTCTCATCTCATCTGCGCTGCAGCGGGATGATAAACTGGCCCTTCACTTGATGAACACCCGGATGATCCTGGCGCGCAGGTGTTTGCTTTTCACACTGTACACGATGGGGTTCATCAGGGGCGGGACCAGCAGGTAGATGTAGCCCAGCACTACATGGGGCAAGGGAGAAGAGCTCTTGGCAAATCTGTGCATCAAAGTCAGGCTGAACTCAGGCGTGTAGAAGAGCAGGACAGCGCAGAGGTGGGAGACGCAGGTGTTCAGGGCCACGAGGAACTCCGTGCGGGACGCGATGCTCAGCACCGTTTTGAGGATCATCACGTAAGAGACGAAGATGAGCAGCGAGTCCAACCCCACTGTGAGAACTGTAATAACCAAGCCATAGATGTTGTTGACAGTGATGTCCGCACAGGCCATATTCATGACCTCCATGTGCAGGCAGTAGGAATGGGAGAGAACGTTGGCTCGACAGTAGCGGTACCGTTGCAGGAGAAGGGGGAGTGGGAGTATGACACCCACCCCTCTTAGTGCAAAGACCAGTCCCATCTTGACTATTCTTCTCAGGGTTAAGATGGAGGCGTATCTCAGTGGGTTACTGATCGCAACAAAGCGGTCAAAGGCCATTAACAAGAGCACACCGGATTCAATGTATTGAAGTGACTGGATGAAGAACATCTGGGCAAAACAGGCATTGTGGCTGATCTTTCTATGGTTAAATAGAAACACTCCCAGTATCGTTGGTACAGTGGCTATCAGTAAGCCAAGGTCAGTGACAGCCAAAATGGAAAGGAAAATGTACATGGGCTCATGGAGGCTTAAATCTGTTGTTATAATGACGAGAATGACAGCATTGCCAACTATCGAAATAATGTATGTGAAGCAGAAGGCGATAGAGAACCATAGATAGACGTCTTCCTGCCCAGGTATCCCGGTGAGAAGAAACACTGCAGGGTTGAATTTGCTGTCATTGACAGCTGACATAATGTGCAGGGGAAGTCTGAGGAGCTGTGAGCTTTTCTTCCTAAAATGAAAGAGAACAGATGAGATGATACTGAAGAAGACAAGATTCTACTCTAATGATCAGTCTTGGATTTACAACACCAACAGGAAGACAGGCAGTGCTAGATTGGATCAGACCTACAATTCAGCTAGCCCAGTGGTCAGGTCCAGATGCAACAGGCAGCAGTAAGGTCTCTTGGTCCCAGAGAAATTTTCCCACTGACAACTGCTACTTAGAAATCTTTCATAATGGAAATTAGGAAGGCGTTGAATCCTTTAGTGACATTTTTAAACAAATTCTCATTACTGTCATTGAATTCTCTTGTCACTCTGTCCAGTTATGGGTGCCACATTTCAGGGAAGATTTGGACAAATTGGAAAAGGTCCAGAGAAGAGCAACAAAAATGATTAAAGGTCTAGAAAGCATGAGCTATGAGGCAATGCTGAAGGAATGAGGCTTGTTTAGTTTAGAAAAGAGAAAACAGAGAAGGGACATGATAACTTTCAAGTCCCTGAAAGATTGCTACAAGTACGAGGGAGATAAATTATTTTCCTCAACTTTTGTAGACAGGGCCTCTAGATTTTAGATATTAAAGGATTGGCAACAGAATGATTTTGGGGTAAGATCTAAATTATATTTGACCTGGGTGTGTGGCTAATCCTTTGGGATTTGAGGAACCTTTTATGTGATTAGTCTAGCTCTAACAAATCACTCATCTATGAAACTCATGTGTTTGTTGGTGATATAAATCTGGAATGCCTAAAGAAACTGCCTTTATGACCTTGTATTAGCCAGTGTGGTGAGATCGTTTATGTTTGTGGCTAATTTGGGAGAATAATGGCCAGCATTTTGGAGTATATATGGGCTATTTCTAAGCAGTGTGATGTGAATTTGGCATTCTCAGTTGTGACCCACAAAGATACGATTTCATTAGCTTAGATGGCAGTACCCAAGAACTAGACTAACTACGCTTTGGATCGGAACCCTGTGGTATTCAAAACTGGAATGTTGATATTGACAGATTTGGTGGTTAATGAGCAGTGATAATGAGTGAGCAATCACATATGAAACAAAATACAGGACTATGTAGCACTTTAAAGACTAACAAGATGGTTTATTAGATGATGAGCTTTTGTGGGCCAGTCCCACTTCCTCAGATCAAATAGGGGAAGAAAACAGTCACAACCTGCATCCTGCTTCAGAAGCCTTTTAAATCTGCACTTGAAAGGGAATCCTCTGAACTGTCATTCATGCTAAAATTCAACACTCTACGCGTGGGTCTCAACAAAGACACTAACTATCTTATCCATAACAAAGATAGCTTCCCCAATTCTTACCTCTAATACCATTAGCTCACAGATATTTACCTTTCCCT